TTTTTTTTTTTGGGACTGGCAGTTTACTGTTTATTTGAGTGTGTTTGTGGGGTTGGTTGATAGGAGTGGCAAATTCCATTTTATTCTTAATTTATTACCGTAATTTTTATTTTTTTTATTTTGGTTGATTATATATACAATAACAATTTAAATTTTTGGAATTATGGTATGGTATTCTAAACGTAATTTATTATTGCACACCGAGGGCGTATGCAGAAAACTTTTTTATCCGAGGCTGCTTATTATTATAGTTATTATTGGAATTGAGTAGACATGGTCATGGGCCAGGCCAGCCCGTCGGTTCGGCCTGAACCGACACAAAGCGGTCTGTTGACCATGGTTCTTGAACCATCCCGTGATTTTGACCAGTCCGGTTGTGAACATGAGGATTTATATGGGTCAATTTATTAATATTATTAAAAGGTTTTAATTATGTTTTCTTAATCTATTTAATAGAAATTGTTTGATGAAATAAGAAGAAAATAAGAAAGGAAGCAGGCAGCACAAATTCTAGCCTTCTAGGGATCTTATATATACTCAAAACTCAATAATGGTTATTATAGTTATAAGATGCGTGCTAAGACCTATTCCAATGGTACTGCAAAACTCAAATTTTGCAGTAGAATTTGCTCCAACCGTACTGAAAAACTCATCGCAAAATGAGTTTATAACCTTCTCTCTCTCCATTTCGACGCAAATTTGCGTCCAACGCAATTTTTTGCGTTCAATCTTTTTTTCTTTCATTTTAGTCCTTCTCTTTTTATTTATCTCATCTTCTTTTTTTTTATTTTAGCCCCATAATTATTAATTTAGCTCATATGATATTTAGAATTATGAATTATTTTTATATATTTTTAAAATACTAAAAAAAATCTTTATTCATAAAAATTAAATAGTAAAATATTTAAAATAATAAATATTATATTTATCATTTAATGTTATATTTTTCACAATAATAATATAAAATATACATATTATTTATGGTATTTTATTTAACAATAAAAGAAAACACTAACATTAAATAACAACAACATTACGAATACATATTGAAATAACATTAGTACATGATAGATCACGGTTCAAAGAAAAACATTTCAATAACTACTGCTTAAATAAAAATACAACATCACACGGTACTAAAATAAAAATACATCATAAACCCAACAACTGAAAACAAGCACGAATACTTAGTAATCTGGCAAGTTGGCACCGCTTCCTTGAAAAATTGGCCAAATGCATTAGTCGGATATGGATCCGGTTGGGCTTGTTGAGCTCTTTTCTCCAAGATTCGTGCCTTTTCAGCTTCAATGTATGCTCGAACTCTAGGATCTTCAATGGTACTGACATCTTGAAACAGAATTTTATTTTCTTCCCTCATTTCTTTAAAGCGAGTGATCTATTGTGCATCTCCATTTGATGTTTTATTTGGTCGTTTGCATTTTTCATCTCCTCAACAAGTCTTTTGTTTGCTTCTTTCATTGCATTGATGAGCGATGATGAATCATCATTTACCTTTCTTTTTAGTTTGGCTTTCTTGACCCCGATAGGTCTTTCAGATGGAGAACCAGTAGCACATTGATCCGAGTCGCTTAAATTTATAGAAAATGAAGAAATACCTGCGGATTCTTGTCGGGCAGACTCAGGAGTTGGATTTTCTGACTCCGAAGATGGATAACAACCAGACTGTTTTTTCTTGCTCCTCGAAGTTCCATCTTTAAATTTTTCAAAGTTTTTAATAATATCCCAAACATGATCGTATTTCCATCCGGATTTAAATTTGGAATCTTCTTTGAACAACACTTTTGCTCTGAGCATCTACAATTTTCATAAACAATTAACCATAGCTAATATAAATAATATATTTAATAAATAAAAAATACAATCAGATTTTAGTACTCACTGTATCTTCATTTGATGCACCACTCTGATGCATATCTTCTACTGTTTTAATGCATGCATGGAGTCTTTTGGCTGCTTTTTCGATTGTTTGAATTCGTGCTTGCATAGATCTCTTGGTACGAACCTCCCAATGCTCAAGGCGTCCTTCATTGAAAGCATTTTCAATACGGGACCAAAATCGATCAGATGATTGGTATACCCCAATAATTGGGTCCTGAGAAATATCCATATAAACTTGACATAAAAGAACATCTTCATCATGGTTATAGGAAGATGAACGGATCGACATTCTTACAAGAAGTTAATTGTGCTAAAGCTTTAGTGTAGAGAATACAAATGTTAGGGTGTATTCACTACAATATGATATCTTCTTTTATAGTGAAAGACCATCTCCTCTCTCCATGGTTTAACCCGAAATGACATATCACTGCAATGACCAAAAAATGACAACTCTCTGTAAAGTTGATCACGCTTATCAATGTTCTGAACCGAAAATGATATATCACTGCAAAGTTGATCACGCTTAATCATGTTCTGACCCGAAAGTGACATGTCACTGCAAAGTTGATCACGGTTATCAATGTTCTGACCCGAAAGTGACATGTCACTACAAAGTTGATCACATATATCAATGTTCTGACCCGAAAGTGACATGTCACTACAATGACCCCCACCTCTCTCAATGATTTGACCCAAAAGTGGACACCCTCTGCAAAGTTGATCACACTTATCCATGTTCTGACCCAAAAATGACATATCACTGCAATGTCCACCACTCTCATTGCTTTGACCCGAAAATGGTCACTCTCAGCAAAGTTGATCACGTTTATCCATGTTCTGACCCGAAAATGACACATCACTGCAAAGTTGATCACACTTAATCATGTTCTCACCCGAAAGTGACATGTCACTACAAAGTTGATCACAATTATCAATGTTTTGACCTGAAAGTGACATGTCACTACAAAGTTCATCACGCTTATTCATGTTCTGACCCGAAAATGACACATCACTACAATGTCCCCCACCTCTCTCAATGCTTTGACCCGAAAGTGGACACCCTCTGTAATGACCTCTCACCTCAAAGACTGTCACGTCTATCAATACTTTGACTTGAAAATAACCACTCCCCAAAAAGGTTACCACACTTTTCAAATTCACTACTATAAGAACATAACATATACTAAATCCATCACACACTTGAATCTCTTCAAACATATTTTCATATTTCTCTATCTTTCTACAATGAATTTTAATTTTGGCAATTCGTCATCTTCTTCCTCTGATTCTGAGGATGATCATATGCTAATTATGAATGCTCTTCGTAAAAAACAAGCAGTGATAGCTCAAGCTATCGCTAATAACAACATCATCATTCAACATCTTATCAATCAACAAAACCAAGAAGCCTCCCATGGAGGATCTGTTCCTGGGCATATTTTTATCAATCGTGATCGAGAGGCTGCTGATCGTAGGTTGTACAATGATTATTTCTCAGAAAATCCATTGTATAACGAGACCATGTTCCGTAGAAGATACAGAATGTCTCGCTCGTTGTTCCTTCGAATTGTCGACGCAGTCAAAGATCATGATCATTACTTTCAACAGCGAGTGGATCGAGCAGGCAGACTTGGATTATCTCCAATACAAAAAATAACTGTTGTCTTTCGTATGTTGGCATACGGCGTTCCAGCTGATGCTACAGACGAGTATGTTAAAATTGGTGAGTCCACTGCAATTGAAAGTATGAAAAAATTTTGTCGATCGATAGTTGAGGTATTTGGCGAGCTATATCTGCGGAGGCCCACATCTGATGATATTTCCAGGCTTCTATACATTGGCCAGCAACGTGGTTTTCCAAGAATGTTGGGGAGTTTAGATTGCATGCATTGGAGGTGGAAAAATTGTCCTACAACTTGGGCTGGCCAATATGCTGGTCGTAGTGGAAAGCCTACAATCATTCTTGAAGCTGTAGCAGATTATGATCTATGGATATGGCATGCTTATTTCGGTTTGCCGGGCTCCAACAACGACATCAACGTTCTAGAATCATCTCATCTTTTCTCGGATCTAACCCAAGGTATTGCTCCTCCAGCTCATTATATAATTCAAGGAAAAGAATACAACATGGGTTATTATTTAGCTGATAGCATATATCCAAAATGGTCTACCATTGTGCAAACAATTCATGAGCCACGTGGTCCAAAGAAAAAATATTTTGCAATGAAACAAGAAGCCTGCAGAAAAGACGTTGAACGTGCATTTAGAGTTCTTCAATCATGTTTTGGCATTGTAGCAGGACC